TCTAGTATTCTATGATTCTATGATTGGCTGTGAGAGTTGTATGCTCACTCTGCATTACATCAAAACTCTCTTACAGTTCAGTCAGCTCACTCTCCAAATTTTAGGCACACAAGCGCAGTTAGCAAAACTACCTTACCGTGGGAGACCGTCTTGGTTATGACAATCGTCTGGCCTACTGAGATGAAGGAGGGCCACTCAAGCAACCCACTCACCAACCTGGGTTGCACATTGTTGGCTTAGTATTATAGTGGGCTTAGTTTGTTTAAACTAGTTTGAATAAAGTTCACGAGACAAGTTTTCCAACACTGTAAACTTATGTTTGTTTTGCTAAGAGCAAGTCTTGTATAGGGCACCAGTTTATTAGTACAGTGTAAGGCACCAAAAATCCCAAGGACAGTCCTGATAATACCCTTGTAGAGGCCACAATATGTGCTGCCCACATCCCTCCGGCATACAACAAACTTCCTTACAGAGTTGATTACTACAAAAGCACTGTAAGAAAATCTCATTAAAATGACTTTGGAATGTGGATGGTTAAACTGTTTTCAAAGATTGTCTTAGGTTATGGGAGGTCAATAATGACACCATGAGGAAGGTGCTATGATCACAATCTGCAATCTTTCACCGTGGAGTGCACTAGCTGATGTGTCACTGCTGATACTTTCCTGTGATAGATATACTTGGAACTAGTCCCTGTAGGCAAAAGGATGATATGCAGGGAGTACATTATGAGTTATGGGTAAATGTCTTCCACTTACAGAAGGGTATTGGATGAATATTGTCAAATGCTCTAGGACTCTTTCATTCCTTAGACCTGGGTCATAAGAACAGAGATGCCTTTTTTGTCCCTGTCTTAGAGGAAGCACTGCTGGATTTTAGCACTGCATTCCTTTTTAAAATAAAGAATAAACCAGTTTGTGTTTCAGCCTCTGGGTGGTTTGGTATTTTGCCCAGGGCAAATTTGTTGGCCTTGAAGCACATATTTATATTCTTACATCCCAAACAAAGAAAATGTTAAATGTTTATAGAGGAAAAATAAACAATGTGAAGAAACTAACACTGAAAAGTAACTCTTTTGTACCTTCTGGACAAGACAACTAGGAATATACTAATATATACTGTCTTGTGAGCCAAACAAGTGAATAAACATTTCATCACATATTATCTGGTTCATTTAATTCACAATGGCTTTAGTAGATAATATTCAGAACATCGTGTGCTTGAATGAGCATGGTATTTGCTGTCCTGGAGCACTTATTTGGACAGACTGTAAACTATATAAAGGCAATTAACATTTATCATAAATCAAACAGGGCTTTTATGGCATTCATAGGAGTGCTGCTGAAAATACCACTTTGCAGACAACCATAAGGATATGAAACAATGGAAATACAAAAATGGGGCAGATAAGTGAAAAAAAATCAGTTAGTTATTTCCAGAACTCTTGACAACCTGAAATGACACTAGCTCATGAATATGAGCAAACCTTCCCCTCTCTCTCCACCACACACCCTAATACCCCTGCTTTCTATGATTCTGGTTAATCAAAACCAACAATACAATCTAAATTATAAGGTGATGTGGTCTGTAAGGGCTCATCTACGCAACAGATGTTCAATTTCCAAAAGATGAAGTTGAAGTAGCTTAATTCAGCTTTTGGTGCTGTCTACACAGCAGGAAGTCGAAGAAAGAACACTCTTCCTTTGACTTCTCTTACTCCTAATAAAATGAGGGTTACAGGAGTCGGACTAAGAAGTCCTCCAGTGTGACATTATTTTGAACTAATGGTTTGCTGTGTAGGCTGCAAATACTGCTTGGGCCTACCAATGGCCACTTGGTAAATATAGAAAACAATAAACCAGCATGATGAATAAGAAGCAATTAGGGGTAGGACAAATTTGCCCCCATAGCTGAAGGCAAAGAAGTAATTAGATGCACCAAACAAAGAGTGGGAGAAAAGAATGGAGGACAGAGGGTTGGATGCTCATGTGAAGCTGAAGGAGTCAGGCAGCCAAAGATAATTTACTTTCAATGAGTTGGGCACCTTACTTCCTTGGCTCTTCTGAATATCCCAGCCAGAGCTAGCTGTAACACAGGGAGCCTGTAGGAGAACTGGGAACAGGCTTTAGACTTTTTAAGCCCCATTTCAGTATTGTACTTCAACCACAAAGCCAACCTCTCTGGATTCATCAGCCATATCTATCTATCCGCATCTAGGCTGTGTCTAGACTGGCAAGTTTTTCCGCAAAATCATCTGCTTTTGAGGAAAAACTTGCCAGCTGTCTATACTGGCTGCTTTAATTTCCGGAACAGCACTGACAATCTCATGTAAGATCGTCAGTGCTTTTGCGGAAATACTATGCTGCTCCCGTTCGGGCAAAAGTCTTTTTCCGAAAGACTTTTGCGCAAAAGGGCCAGTGTAGACAGCACAGTATTGTTTTCCTCAAAAGAGCCCCGATCGCGAAAATGGCGATCGGGGATTTTTTGCGGAAAACCGCGTCTAGATTAGCCACAGACGCTTTTCCGCAAAAAGTGCTTTTGCGGAAAAGCATCCTGCCAATCTAGACACACTTTTCCAAAAATGCTTTTAACGGAAATGCTTTTAACGGAAAACTTTTCCATTAAAAGCATTTTCGGAAAATCATGCCAGTGTAGACGTAGCCCTACAGTATATCAGAGGTTACAGTCACCACATGATAAATTACAGTACCATGTGATAAATAACATTTATTTGCTTTTAGATTGTAAGCTCTTTGTCCTATGTTCAGACATACAGTAGGTTCTGGTCCATGATTGAGATTCTTAAAGTGCCACCATCCTACACACAAACTAAGACCTTTGGGCTCCTTACCTGATGTGAGTGGGAGAGTCTGGGTGTGAAGCCTGGTGTGAAAATCATAGCTGCCTAATTGTGCATTTAAGGAGCTCAACTTTAAGCACAGGTTTTGGGGGGGTTCCCCCCTCAGACACAATACTGGTATCTTAGCTCTTCCAAAGGTGGCGTTCATTAAAACCCTCTTCATACAAAGCTGTGACTTTACTGTCACAGTATCTAGCCAGTCAGCTCTCCTAGGAAAGTGATTTCTTTTTAATGTAAAAACTTAGTGAGTAGTTTCTTTCTATACTGCACCAGCATTGTCAGTCTAATGACGAACATACTGTAGACGATATTTCTCATTCAGTGTATGTCATTCAGTTGCCTTTTGTGCTCCACTGAAGTTGCAGTGAACAGAACAGCCTTATCTTAATGTCAGCTTATTCAGGAATGAAAAGCCTACTTATTTAATGTGTAACTGAGATATCTATATTCAAATGATTCAGAGAAATGAATAGGATACAACCTGTATATAAATCACTCAAAAGCTGATGAATAGATTAGTCTCTTGAAGACACCAACGTTAGCTTTCAGAAGCTCAAAAAGGAAGGTGAAGTGGTCTCAAGAAAAATGCAGCTCCAAACTGACTGTGTTTGTATTACTCTGCACTAGATTCCTTATAAAATGTCCAGCACCTACAGGACTGTGGTTCTCTATTCAGCAGCATAATAGCAAACATACAAGCATCTCCTCGCTTCCCCCCAGGAAATTCAGCACATCCCTTTTTTGGCTACCACCCACCATCACACCTACAGTTATTTTTAATTAGCTCCACAATTATCTTAAGTGCTTTAGGGACAGGTATGAAGAAAACCTGCTAAAGAGACTGGCTGCGATACTGGAATATTGGGACACATGCCTTGTTGATTTCAAGATTGTTTGATCTAGGAAAATAAAATCCAAAGGGATTTTGTTTATTTGGATTTAAATTAGATCTAGATATCTATATTTCTATTACTCGGGTTCCTGTTAAATTAAAATAATATTTTGGAAAGGATCTATCCTCCTACTTTGGGACTTAAGTCAGTTACTAACTCTAGCTGCAACATTAGAAGGGAACTTCCATGGGAGCAGATTAACCAGTTTGTAATTAATGCATTATTTCTTGCACTTTCCTTTAAAATGACTGGTTGGGCAAAGGACAATGGGTTAGATGGAATGCTGCTTTGATCCAGTATAGAAAGTCCTCTGTTTTGTTAACATTGTTTACATACAGAGAGACTTGAAGATTTACCCGCCAATGTTTGGGACCTTTTTCTTCATTTTCTTTAATTCATTGTTCTGGGGGAGGAGAGGGGCTAGGGAGGAGAGGCGCAGTATGCAAGCTTCCTTAGGGACAAAGATCTACTCCAGCATTTGCTCATTGCAGGAGTTTGGAGCTAGACAAGCAGGCTACGTCTACACTGGCCCCTCTTCCGGAGGGGGCATGTAAATTTCACGAGTCGTCGTAGGGAAATCCGCGGGGGATTTAAATATCCCCCGCGGCATTTAAATAAAAATGTCCGCCGCTTTTTTCCGGCTTTTAAAAAAGCCGGAAAAGAGCGTCTAGACTGGCCCCGATCCTCCGGAAAAAGTGCCCTTTTCCGGAGGGTCTTATTCCTACTTTGAAGTAGGTCTTATTCCTACTTAGAAGTAGGAATAAGAGCCTCCGGAAAAGGGCACTTTTTCCGGAGGATCGGGGCCAGTCTAGACGCTCTTTTCCCGCTTTTTTAAAAGCCGGAAAAAAGCGGCGGACATTTTTATTTAAATGCCGCGGGGGATATTTAAATCCCCCGCGGATTTCCCTAAAGGACAACCTAGGGATGGGAGACTGGGGGCTGGAGCAGTCCCAAATGGGGGAGGATGATTCTTTCTCTTTTCTGTATGGTTTTATCTGAAGCAATCCCATTCCAGGCACATCCCATTTTCATGGCACAACCCCTTACCTTGCTTTAAGATCTAAGAGGAAGCTGCTTTCCGCATTTGGTGGGTCTTAGCTCTTACCCTAAAGGACAACCTAGGGATGGGAGACTGGGGGCTGGAGCAGTCCCAAATGGGGGAGGATGATTCTTTCTCTTTTCTGTATGGTTTTATCTGAAGCAATCCCATTCCAGGCACATCCCATTTTCATGGCACAACCCCTTACCTTGCTTTAAGATCTAAGAGGAAGCTGCTTTCCGCATTTGGTGGGTCTTAGCTCTTACCGTGTAGAAGGAATTCCTGAACAAAGAGACAGACAGACAGACTCGCTCGCAAAAGGTCTTCTTGTGCAAAAGGTCTTCCACGAGAGTGCGTCCACACTGCCATGAGCTTTTGCGCAAGAGATGTGCTTTTGTGCAAGAGCATCCATGGCAGTGTGGACGCTCTCTTGCGCAAGAAAGCTCTGATGGCCATTTTAGCCATAGGGGTTTATTGCGCAAGAAATTCATGTTGCCCATCCACACTGCCTTCTTGTGGAAAAGCTCTTGCACAAGAGGGCTTATTCCTCATGGGGAGAGGAATAACTCTTTCAGAAGAAGCCCTGTTTTCTGATGCTGTTCTGTAAATTTACTTGTGCAAGAACACGTGTGCAGTGTAGACACTCTGCAAGTTTTTGTGCAAGAACAGCCATTCTTGGGCAAAAAGCCTGCAGTGTAGACATAGCCATGTTGTCCCCAAAGGGGGTAGGGAGATGTCAGAGCTATGTTTTTAGGAGAGGGAGCATCTTGCACTATCCAAGAAAATGGTGGCTTAGGAGGAAGGCCACATGCCCAATAGCTCATAGGGCTCCCCTGAGATTCTGCAATCCCTGGCTGCCTACGGTGCATGGCTGCAGTAACTGAAAGGCACTATGCAACCTCTGATGTACTTTTTTAAACATATAAACACAAAATTATATCTACTTTTCATTCTAGCATAGATTCTAAGTTGTGAGGCTTCATTAAGGTCTGTAGACAATTCCCTTATAAGACCAGCCAGTCATCATTCACATCCCCATCTTAGAGACAGAGCAGCTGAGGTGGAACAACAATTGTGAACATAAACACACCTGAGCATCCTCACATCAGACCTGATGAGGCTGTACAGCCTCCATCGGTGTCAATGTGGCCATTTTCTCTAAAGAGCAAAAAATCTGCACATTATCCCTATTGTTGTCCAAGTACTGAAATTGCCCTTGTCACCACTCAGTATCTGAGTGCCTACCAATAATTAATGGATGTTCTCTCCACACCACCTTTGTGAGGTACAGAATTTCACCATATATCAGTCTGACTCAGTCATTGTGTATTGCCTGCATATGTATATGTGTTTCCTCCTACACTGGCATTGACCTGACAGGATCAGAAAGTGAATCACTTCTCCCAGGGGATCAGTATGAAAACGAAGCATCTGCTTTGCTATAACCTTCTTCCAAGGTTCTACTAGACTGTCACCTTAAATAGCAATGAATGATTGCTGTACGGGTAGCTTCAGGGACTCCCTTAACCAGAGAGGAAGACAGCTTCCATGGACCCCTGGGCATGATGTGTATGGGGGCAACTCCATGTCCCTGGAAAGGATGAGGCCTTGGGCAGAAGAGTTGGGGCTGGTCTCAGCCCTCAGTGCCACCTGGACTGCACTGCTCGGTCCCCTGCTCCATGACCTTTAGATCCACGCAGAGCAATTTAAAAGATGTAGGGCTCTGGCCACTGCCTCAGGCCTCTGAATCGCCTGGCCCTGGGGCAACTGCTCCCATTGTTCCCCCAACCATCGTTCCCCCAACTTTCTGTTTATACTGCAGAACCTCAGAGTTACAAACACCTCAGGGACAAAACTTTATGATTGTTCTTTCAAAAGTTTACAACTGAATATTGACTTACTACAGCTTTGAAACTTCACTATGCAGAGGAAACATACTGTTTGTGGCTATCCTCCTTTAAATGACACAAGGAGAGAGTTTCCTTACTGTGTCAATTTTAAAAAGAAATGTGTCCTTTTGTTTTGTAGTAGATTAGATTTAACAAAATAATATAGTGTATTTGTTTTGGGGTTTTTTGAGGGGAGGGTGTCTTTGCTGCTGCCTGATTGTGCACTTCCATGTCCAAATTAGGTGCATTGTTGACTGGTTAGTTCATAATACTGAGACTCTAGTGTATCTTTTAAGCCTTACAGGATATTATTAATTCTTCTTCTTTCTTCAAACATTTTTACTTCCTCTAACACATTTTAAATAGGGCCTGGACCATCAGCTGACAAAATAATACTGCTGTATGACTTTGTCCTGTGTTGTCACATGCTTTAAAATCTGAATAACATAATTTTTACAAACTGCCATCCTCAGTGAAGCAATGCATACAGCAAATGAGATTTCCTTTTTATGGATCAACAGAGCTAAGATTTAATCAGCAGTTATAGTCAAATAAATATATATTGTACCCTTTTCTTTAAAAAAGTATTATTTTCCCCTTTAGTATGAATATGCTTGAAGGGATTTAAATATATGTCCTTCATTAATTTCAAATTCTGAAAACCTTAACTTAGAATCCTATGCTTATTCTTCAAAAGCGACGAGGAGTCCTGTGGCACCTTATAGACTAACTGAAGTGTAGGAGCATAAGCTTTCGTGGGCAAAGACCCACTTCGTCAGATGCATGTGGGTCTTTGCCCACGAAAGCTTATGCTCCTACACTTCAGTTAGTCTATAAGGTGCCACAGGACTCCTCGTCGCTTTTGCAGATTCAGACTAACACGGCTACCCCTCTGATACTTGACACCATGCTTATTCTTATGGCATAGATTTCCCATGACAGGGCATCTGCCCTGCACTGGCCCTTTAAGGGTTAAAACTCAGCCCTGGAAGAGGGCTGGAGCATTGGAGCTGTGAAGCCAGCAGCTGTGGCAGGTGTTAGCCAATTAGGTCCCAGCTGACAGCAGTATAAATAAAGGTTCCTGGAGGGGTGGAAAGCCTGAGACTCACTCTTGCTGCAACTGTGGAGCAGGTGGGACTTGCCTGCCAGGGAAACTAGAGGCTTTCTGACAGAAGGACTGGGAAAAGGCAGGCAGAGCTGGGGAAGGCTACTAGGGATGCAGGGGACCATCAGGGCAGGCAAGGTAGCAGGTCTACCACCCCTTGCTAATGATGGGTGGCCATTTCAGACTGCAGTTTGCCCCTGAGGCTAGTTGACAACTGGCAGTGGGGTCACTGGGGCCAGGTGAGCATAATGGTTGGGGGGGGGCTCCCTGAAGGGGAGAACCACAGAGAGTAGGGGTCTTGAAGCAGGGTGCTAACCAAAGGGAAGATACCACAATTTGAGAGGGATGTGGATCCTAACAGAAAGTGGTAGAGAATAACAGGCAAGAGAATTTGTTCTGCCCTTGATCACTGAATGGAATCAATTCTTGAGGCGGAGTTGCTCCCTGATATGTGCTGAGATTCCTGAAGGAAGAGCTTGTGTGCATGCTGCTGGATCAATGCTGTTACAGGACTGATGCAGAGGGGTGACTAAAAACTAGTTATATTTAGAATTTTCCAGTCTCTCCAGCACAGATATGTCTCCGCTTGGGAAGCAGAAGGCACCATTAAGCTGCTACTGCAAATCTATCAGTTCTGTCAGTGATGTATATTCTGTGCAGCATATGGGTTTGTCTACACAGTGCTGCAATGGATAGAATGGGGATGTGAAATCTAATGAACATCAATATGTTGCATTATTAACCAGTGCTATGTAGACCCTTATGACTATTCTACTTTTTCCCTGGTCATGCCTCCCACAGGCAAATGCTGTGAAAAAGACACGGAAGAAGTACTCTGCTGGCTCTATGCTCCCGAGGGGAACTTCTGGTCTTGTTTTGAAGTTGACTGCTTTAGACTCAGAGGATTCTAATTAATCTTGGGAACTAACAATATGTCCAAGAATGACCTTGAGTGGGTTACTGCGGATTATGTAGTGCTGGGAAGAAGGATCAAAGAATATAGAGCACAAATGGTGTTCTCGTTCACCCTCCCTGTTGAAGGGAAAGGACTGGGCAGGGATCATCGAATTGAGGAAATCAATGAGTGGTTGCGCAGGTGGTGTCGGAGAGAGGGCTTTGGTTTCTTTGACCATGGCATTCTGTTCTGGGCAGAAGGATGGTTAGGAAGAGATGGGATCCACCTAACCAAGAAAGGAAGGAACATCTTCACGGGCAGGCTTGCAAACCTAGAGAGGAGGGCTTTAAACTAGGTTTGTTGGGGGACGGTGACCAAAACCCTGAAGGGAATTGGAAAGTCGGATACCAGGAAGAAATGTAAAGAGGAAAGATCAAGAAAGGAGGACCCCTGATTCGAATGGAGAAGATAGGGTGATCAGCTGGTTATCATTCCCTGTATCATTCCCAGGGCCGGTCCTAACCAATTGGCAGCCCTGGACAACTGGCTGCCTCGCCCATAGGGTTGCCAGATGGTTTCAAATACCATACAAAAATTTGTCAAGCAAAAAAAAAACACGCTTGGGAAAATTTGTTGAGGGGGGAAAAAAGGGTCGGACAGAAATACGGTCACAGCCCACTCCTAAGACTGGCTCTGTCAGCGGCCCCTTGAAAATGATGGCACTGGGCAACTGCCTGGTTTGCCCGCCCATAAGACCGGCTCCCATTTAAAAAAAAAAAAACAAATTTCCCTCCTTTCCATTACATGTTCATATTCTTTGGAATCAGACATGGCTAGAGGATTTCTCCTTTGTGGTTTGACAAATCTGTTATTGAACTGAATAGGTCTTTGAGCTTGCAACAAACTGATACAAGAGAAAGCTTTTCTTTTCTTAACTTTAGTGCTCCTATACTATGCTTGTATTTTTTAGCAACATTTTCTAAAAATCTCAAGAATGGGTCTGATATGTATCCTATAGTAACAAGGAAATGGCTTGGATGATTCCGGTAATAGATCACTTCCATCTCTAACTTGTAGGGTTTAGAAAACATCTTATTGACATAAGGTCTGTAATGGTATTTTTTTCAAGTAAATACAACTGCAGTGAAATTAGTGTACTTAGAATAGAATTGATTTTGTCCCATTATATCCTGACACATCACAATAGGAAAATATTTCTACCCTATGTTTTGGGAGTACTCTCTCCTGTAACCAGAAAAGGAAAGGACAGCCACCTGTCATGCCAGTGAGAATTCCAACTTCACAATATGAAACCCACTTTAGAAAAAAAAATATAGAATAATGAATAAGAAATT